CTTTTCTGTATTCAGGCTTCAGTTCATAGGTGCCTTGATTAGTTCCTTTGTTATTGTAGACACAAAGTTCTTTCAGTATATCTTTCAGAAATTGCTGCATAATAATGTAACCATTAGATGCAACACAGTATTAGTTAAACACAGGCACTATAATAAGCATATACAAACAAATGTTCAATAACCAAGCTGTGCGCTTGGAAGAAACACACATACTTCAGGTTGGTCGGTTTCTTGTATGAGGTTTCTTAAACTCCAATTTGACTGCCTTTCAAATAGCTTAAATATGATCTCTTCCATTTCTCCACGGTCTCTTCTAGTTCTCTTCGTCTCTGATCCTCGTGCCGGTGCTTTCTTCTTTTCCTGATGTAATAAATCAATTTCTTTAACATCTCAAATATCAAACAATAAAAAGCACAAGTAGAAACTCAATTACATAACACTAGAGATTAAACTATTTGTGGTCGTTTTAATCTCATTATCATAGTTTGAAATTGTTGTCTGCAACTGCAACTACAGCTGTATTATAAAGGTTTTAGAGATCTCCACAAATATATATCGCAGCTGCAATTGCAACCGCATTTGCTTGCACTTAGTCGCAATATTAAGGTTCACCATAACTGCGACTGCAACCACAATTTAGAACCATGCTCATTATTGAGCCAAAAAATGGTTAGATGGGAAGTAACAAAAGTGCTGCCCTTGATGTTATAAGAAGGGAAGTTTCATTTCGCATGCAAATGTAATAATTTCTTTTGGGAAAAATGCAAATGTAATAATTGAGAACACATATTGGTAACAGGATGAAAAAGGCATTTATTTACAGGGGCGGGTCCAGCAACGGAAAAACTGATCATCCCTGGCAATGGCCTCATATGAACTCCATTATCATTGTCAATGACCTGAAAATAGAGTTCAGGTGAAGTCAAAGGTAAATAAGATATGACTGTCAAAATCATTGGATCAAATGTTATTATGAGAATAAGAAAACCTGTATCTGTCTATTTTTGACAGTATATTTCTTTGTCCTTTCGCGGCAGATTTTCCCATAGACATCAAGATTTTGGTTATCCGACCTCATGTCAATCTTGCTCACTACTTTACCCTCCACAGATATTTTTCCTACAATAAGCGAAAAATATCAACTGCTTGAATTACATTTTGCTGAATCAGAGACTTCCTATCTAGTTAAAGTAAAATAAAAGATCAAATATCATTAAATAAACAATAACATATCAAAGAAACCAATATTTAAATAGATCAATCTAAACAAGGATGGCATGCCTATCTACAGTAGACCCCTAAAGGATTCCAATCAGCAATGAAAGGAGCTTTACAACACCAGGTTGCTCATAGGAAACTTATTCCGTAGTACTAGTAAGAGGGTTAGGTCATGTGTTAATAAGCTTTAGTTAAGATCCAATAACTTGGGAGTATCCAAGTTCAATCCATGGTTAGACTTTACTTCTCAGTCGAACTCCGCTCTTCGCCAGTGAATCAGAGGGTTAAGGTAAATAACAAGATGGTTAGGTTATGTTGTACATACAAACCATTGAAGTTGCACACAAATGTATTATCTTTGTAATTGGGATTCTTAAACTTTCAACTAAGAATCTCTCAGTTGTTTAGATTGTTGAAGTCTAATATTATGATGTGATATGAAAGAAACAAAATCAAATGCATGTGGTGATTGTAAAGGTACCTTGTGTTGAGTCAGAAAAGACAGACATAGGCATGAAGTCTTTAGACATGTCCATAGCAAAACATCTTGATGCATTACCTTCACCTCCACCCAACTCCATTGTAAACTGACCATTTTATTATTTAACTAAACATCAATCAATCAATTTTAAAGTAGCAAATAGAAAGATACAAGGAAAAGTGTCAACATGAATAAAAATAGGATTAAATATATTTTCAATTTAGTCCCTACAAAATATTTATTCATTTAATCTACTTACTAAGTAAAAAAATATTATTATTTCTTAAGTCACTGATTATGATTATGTTCTCTCTAGCACCTGTATCTACTTGTCAATATCCGATTCCGACACATGTTATTAAGTTTAATTAATTTATCTTTCAAATTATTATCGTAATCAGTTATCGTTAATTTGTTGATTTTTAAATTATTATCGATATTGAAATTTCAATGTTGGTGTCATGTCTGATGATGTCAGATATTTCTTGTATGTGTGAGCAAGGTTTTAAAAAACGGCCAGTTATCACGAAAAACAACTAGAGGTGGCAAAACAAACCGGGTCCGTTGGATAAGCTTATTTTGCCTACACTTTAGCATGGGGTGGGTCAAGGGTTTAGGCTCACACCCTCTAATGTATGTGTCCGCACCGTTTTTTTTCTTCAGACATAGACATTAATATAAATCATGTATTTTTAGACTTAAAATATGTAGTGTTCACGGGTCCGATCAAAGTGAGGGCCGTACATTTCGCACTCTCAACTATGTGTGCCCCATCCCATTTGTTTAAAGGATTTTTGCGGGACAGACCTAAAGGTAATGGACATGCCCCTTTGTCACCCTTAAAACAAGGACAAAATGGTATTGGAAGGTGTAGATACCAATACTTTTACCATGAAAAAGAAATTGTGGTTAATTACCGACAACAATCAGAACTGACTAGAAGTTGTGTGTGAGTTATTCATAAATTATGATTTAGCCTACAAAAATTGATATAGTGAGTAAAGAGAATAGAAACACATTTAACCCTAAGAAGAGAAGAGAATAAGAGCGCATGCATGGAGATTGAAAGTGCCGATGATAACGATGAGAATGCAAAATAGCAATTAGTACCTCAGACGGATAATCTTCTGGTTTAAGAGGATCGACGGAGACGATGACTTTAGCACCGGGAAGAGAAGGATCGGAGGAGGATGGTAGGGCTCGCAAGGATTGAGCGACAACTGGCGGACATTTCATCAACCAAATAGGGTTGAGCGCCTTGGAAGTGTCGACGTAACGAGCACCACCGCCGCCACCAGCAGAAGCAACGTTTTTCTCTCTGGTTCCGCCACCAGCAGAAGCAACGTTTTTCGCAACGTTTTTCTCTCTGATTCCGCCACCAGCAGAAGCAACGTTTTTCTCTCGGGTTCCGCCACCGGATTCCTCCTCCTTCTTTATCATTGTTGTTTTTCTGTTATGTGGGAACGAACTCGTTTTGTTATTACTACTAAACTACTAGTATACTACCATTATTACGTGGCATTTCCATTTTCTTTATTTTTTTTAAAATATGAAACAGTTTCTGTTTTCCAGTTTTTCAGGGAACATTGGCCAGGTGTGTTAAAATACAAACGGGGTATTGACCAAGAAAAACAAAACAAAACGGTAGTGAATTGAAGTTTTTATTGAATATTATTATATTAGAGAACTTTTATATTTTTTATTTATATCATGGATATATAATTTCTTTGGTGTTATAACTATTTATCAAAATAAATGCTTATTAATAAATTTGCATAAATTATCAACTACCTATCTAAGAATGGTAACGGGCTATGACTATCCTAATTTATCCTTTCATTCAAAATTAATTTTTACTAAATTATGCAATTTTTTTTTAATTTACTAAATCAAATATTATTACCCATTTAGAACCATTACTTTTGACAAGTGACAGTATCTTTAAATTTTTCTTCAGTCATTCATTGAATACAACATTTTACCCGAGTTTTCTATTCATCTATCAGTTGAAATCATTTTTCTTCTATCACTTTTCGTATCAAACCGAGCATTTCTATCCATTCATTTTTTTTAGTCTTCAAGAAGCGATCCATTCACTCCAACCGCATCAAACATATTCACATTATCTCTCAGGTTTGTTATGCATTTTCTCTTTGCTCTTTGTTCAAGTCCATTTTCATCTTCATTCTTAATGTTTTAGTTTTTTGTTCTGCAACTCTTTAATGTTCATGTTCAACTTTGTTTATGGTTTTCTTTTCATTGCAACTCTTTAATGTTCATGTTCAACTTCGTTCTGTTGTGATATCTTCAACATCTATCACCTTGCGTTTTTCTTCATGTTCATGTTCATGTTAGTCTTCATATGATGTTCATTTTCATCTTTATTTTTTTACTATTAATTAAAATATCCATTCACTCCAACAACATTCTTACTGTTGTGATTTTAGCTTCTCTATTGTTATTTTTGCTTCTATGTTATGAATTTATCTTCTATGTTGTGATTTTAGCTTCTCTGTTGTCATTTTACCTTGTTTGTTCATTCTTTCTTCATCTATTTTTTCTTCATGTATAATTTAACTTTTCGCTTCTCTTACTTTTCATGTTCATTTTTATGTTGTTGTTCATTTTCATGTGTAGCAGAAAAATTTAAGATTAAGCTATTGATTAATTTAACTCATAATGCAAGAGTCGCCACAACACTTTTATTTTTCTAAAGGAATGGGGAAAAGAACGAACAAAATCCAAAGAAGTTTTTAAAATAAAACTAATAAAAATAGAGACAAAGCTAAGGGGGTTGGTTATGCAATGGGAAGATGTTAGCACCTAAAATATCTATAGTACACTATATAGGAACCTCTATAGTACCCTTTGTTGCACCCCAAAATTTGACCAACCGGGTCTCGTATCTGGCTCGATGTTTCGACGCATAATCGCATTCGCATCTGCATATTGCATAAAATTGGATCTTAACTAAAGCTTATTAACACATGACCTAACCCTCTTACTAGTACTACGGAATAAGTTTCCTATGAGCAACCTGGTGTTGTAAAGCTCCTTTCATTGCTGATTGGAATCCTTTAGGGGTCTACTGTAGATAGGCATGCCATCCTTGTTTAGATTGATCTATTTAAATATTGGTTTCTTTGATATGTTATTGTTTATTTAATGATATTTGATCTTTTATTTTACTTTAACTAGATAGGAAGTCTCTGATTCAGCAAAATGTAATTCAAGCAGTTGATATTTTTCGCTTATTGTAGGAAAAATATCTGTGGAGGGTAAAGTAGTGAGCAAGATTGACATGAGGTCGGATAACCAAAATCTTGATGTCTATGGGAAAATCTGCCGCGAAAGGACAAAGAAATATACTGTCAAAAATAGACAGATACAGGTTTTCTTATTCTCATAATAACATTTGATCCAATGATTTTGACAGTCATATCTTATTTACCTTTGACTTCACCTGAACTCTATTTTCAGGTCATTGACAATGATAATGAAGTTCATATGAGGCCATTGCCAGGGATGATCAGTTTTTCAGTTGCTGGACCCGCCCCTGTAAATAAATGCCTTTTTCATCCTGTTACCAATATGTGTTCTCAATTATTACATTTGCATTTTTCCCAAAAGAAATTATTACATTTGCATGCGAAATGAAACTTCCCTTCTTATAACATCCAGGGCAGCACTTTTGTTACTTCCCATCTAACCATTTTTTGGCTCAATAATGAGCATGGTTCTAAATTGTGGTTGCAGTCGCAGTTATGGTTCCAACGTGAACCTTAATATTGCGACTAAGTGCAAGCAAATGCGGTTGCAATTGCAGCTGCGATATATATTTGTGGAGATCTCTAAAACCTTTATAATACAGCTGTAGTTGCAGTTGCAGACAACAATTTCAAACTATGATAATGAGATTAAAACGACCACAAATAGTTTAATCTCTAGTGTTATGTAATTGAGTTTCTACTTGTGCTTTTTATTGTTTGATATTTGAGATGTTAAAGAAATTGATTTATTACATCAGGAAAAGAAGAAAGCACCGGCACGAGGATCAGAGACGAAGAGAACTAGAAGAGACCGTGGAGAAATGGAAGAGATCATATTTAAGCTATTTGAAAGGCAGCCAAATTGGAGTTTAAGAAACCTCATACAAGAAACCGACCAACCTGAAGTATGTGTGTTTCTTCCAAGCGCACAGCTTGGTTATTGAACATTTGTTTGTATATGCTTATTATAGTGCCTGTGTTTAACTAATACTGTGTTGCATCTAATGGTTACATTATTATGCAGCAATTTCTGAAAGATATACTGAAAGAACTTTGTGTCTACAATAACAAAGGAACTAATCAAGGCACCTATGAACTGAAGCCTGAATACAGAAAAGCTGGTGATTAGCTTCAAATACTAATGCTCATCTCCCTCTCTTCATCCTCACCTAGTATAGTATAATTCAATTCATTCATTTTTTTAATTTAAATTTTCGTCCGACCGGGCTGCGGAATGGAGCAGCATGCATTTTGATAGTCTGTGATTTTGTTATTTTAGTAACTTTTGTTTTCAATAACTTTGTATCATCATAAGGTTTGAGTGAATGATTACATCTGCGTTCTCTTGGTTTTGTTGATTTTGAAACATAACTTTCTCCTTTCTATTCTATCTTAGAACATGTTTGGAAAAGTGAGAAAACACGGCGATACCTCAAATACCAAAAACCGAAATTGGACGTGTAACCAAACATGCTATTAGTTTGTAAGGAGAATAGAACTGCTTAGAGACCACTTGGCATTTAATTGCAATTTGTGATACATGAAAAGGACTCAAATTATGCCTATGGCACTTGCTACTGAGGAGTCTACTAAAAGAAAAGCCGCAAAAGAAGTTATGAAGTCACTTACATCACAGGTCTGTTTTCTGTTTAATTTTCATCAATTTCATTGGCATAAAAGGGACATGCTGATGAAACTATTGTGTAAAATATGGAATTTACATTTATATCTTTTATATCGGTAGCAAGATATTTAGAACTCAGTTTTAGAGGAATAGTAATCATTCATCGTTTTGTTGCATGGAATTTTAAAACTGATTTGCATTCTGTTTCAGTCAGAGATCAAACTCGGGTGCTCCCAATCGATTCTTCCTTAACTAAAGCTCATTAACAACGATTTAATGTTGTCTTTTTGAGTAAATTACCATACGATTTAATGTTGTCTTCCACACATTTAACATTGTTTCAGATCAAAGATCTAGCTGAGAAGCTTCCTCCTGAAGTTTATGATGCTATGAACATTAGACAAGCGTACCTACCGAATGGTCTTGAGTCAAACGGAAATCACTATCCGGATTCAAATGGGGAGCAGCATGCGGATGCAGAATCAATCATAAGTGGCTCTAGTATAGCCTCCATAAGACTTGAGTCCTCTCTGTTCAGAACTGCAGGTGATTTTCCAGGAGCCAATGGAACTAACCTCCACCAGCAAATCCGGGGTAGTGTTACCTCTGACGGGACTGGTAACTATCCAGATGTTAAATTGCCGAATGGAAGCAGCGTGATTCAGTCAAGCAGTAGTAGCTTGTCAGATATTGTTGAAGGTAGGGATTCTGGGAATTTCCGTAATGATGAGAGTGGTTTGAAATTGACAGATGCTGCACTGGCTACTAATAGTAATAATCAAGTTGATGCAGAATGGATTGAACAGTATGAACCCGGTGTGTATATAACACTGGTGGCCATGCACGATGGAACACGAGATCTGAAGCGAGTGCGCTTTAGGTAAGAAAAATCCTCCATGCAACCAACTTATATTTTGCTTTTGATTGTCTCGTGACAGTTGATCTTTATATGTAACGTGTTTGATGGTAAATGTAACTGCAGCCGGAGGAGATTTGGAGAGAACCAAGCAGAAATTTGGTGGTCAGAGAAACGGGAGATGGTATACGAAAAATACAATGTTCGTAACTCAGACAAGTCTTCTAGCCAAGCACCGCATAAGTCACAGGTTGCTGGTTCTCCTATCTCCCAAACGTAGTTAAAGTAAACGGAGGAAAATTCTCCACTAACCCCTTTCATTGCAACAAGGAAGTTGTTGGGAAGCACAAATGAATATGAAGAAACCTCGAATCCATCCTTTTTTTATGAGGTTATGTCTAAAGTTGTCAAACTCAGGAGTTTGCACAATTCGTGGAGCTTCTGTGGATTTGACTCAGACTTTGACAACTTTTTACCAGTTGGCTCAAAGAGTTTAACATTCATCCTTACAGTCTATTCCTTATTCTCTTCTCAATCTTCATACATTTTCCCTATTTTTTTCTCAAATTAATTGTCTTTTTATTTATTTTTGGCAGATGTTCTTCATATATCTATTGTAGTTTAGTGTATATAAAATAAAGGATCAAGTTGGCATAACTTTGGCGCATGAACCACACCTATTTGTTTTCTTTCTTGTTATATTTGGTTTCTAGGACACTTATTTTCTTTACCTTATGAATACTCCATTCATTCAAATGTATGCATGGTGATAATTGTTATATCATTCATTCATTTTTTTTCAATCTTCATATTCTTTAGAGGTATTCCCATTTCATCTAGAATACTACCTTAGTCTAAAATTAGTTTGATCAAAAGAAAATGTATATATGAAAGAGAAAATAATATTAGTTCAACATACATTAATATCATTCCACTAACTCATGTTATTAGTGCATGGAGATTTTTTGTATTAACATAATAAAATTTGGCGGGATGACAAAATTTGATTCATATAGTCGACAATACTCAGTGAGATTAAGTTCGATTGTTATAATAAAATTTGGCGATCTCTAGATTTTCTAAAGAATTTTAGATATATTTTTGAAGATTTTGCTTCCAATTTTAGGGAAGTTGAATTTCATCGTTAGCACATGGAATCGAAAACAAACAAGATCAGTTTTGAGATTGTTGTTGCCTACTCATGTTGTAACTAACAAATTAAAGAACTTGAAACATTGTGGAACAAAGAGTGATGAACTTGAAATATTGTAGAACATTGTAGAACAAAGAGTGATGAAGTGGAAGATACTATTGCAGTGTGGTGGCTAGTAGCGACAAAAACAATTGTGGAATCAACAGAGACTCCAATGACAAAGTCAGTGTTTGGTCAAGATATGACAAAGTCAGTGTTTGGTCAAGATGATGAAGTTTTGAAAAATGAGTGAAAAACTACAATGCACGCGTTTGAAGTATTTGAATTTGGCTCCTCTACGGCTGGGAATTCATACAGTATGACATGGTGCTGCTCGTATGATCAAATTCAGACAATTCAAATTCGGTAGTTTTTATAAACCATTTGAATTCACTTAAAGTAAATTGGTAAATTTCCTTTTCCACCCCCTTTATCTTCTTAGAAATTTTGAATTTTAAATCTTTAGATTTTTGAATCTAAAAAGTATTTGTAAGTGTTCAAATTCTAGAAAATATTATTTACATTATATCTTTAGGCACCATAGTGTGTTTTATTCTTTTATCCATATGTTTTGCTTCATTATTTTCATTGTTTTGTATGGGATATGATTTTTCAACGTGATTTAGTTTTTTTAACATGAATTTAAACACATACATAATTAATATTAGAAATAGTAAAAGCCATCTTAAAAAACAAGTAAACTAAATAGTCAAATCAATTCTTAACTTCATTAAATAATCACGTGTGTTTATAAATATAAAAAAATATTAGATATATTGACGATATCAAATAATTTTACATCATTATCCAATAATAAACGACTAAAATCATAAATTATTCTGATATTTTAAAATTACTTAGATATGATAAATATGAAAATGTATTGAATTATATATTAAGAAAGCTGAAACTTTTGTAAAGAAGAATAGGATGTAAAAAATGTTAGCGGCTACACGTTGAAGCATTTATTACATACATTGCAAAGCCTATTCTATTCATGGTAGCTATCAGAGTTCTGTTAGAGACAACCCCCTAATTGGAGTTTAACCAACCTAATAGAATAATTTCTACTAAATGAACTTTGTTAGTTCACTGTATATTAGACTTCTGCAGCTTTACTTGCTTGCAATGTTTCAAGTGTTTTTCCATATATCTCTAACAACCCCTTAAGCTCAAAGGGTGGGAGCTTCACACTGCACCTTGAGTGTGATCGCAAATCTTAAAACCGCGCAGACCTAAGTGGCTTTGTCAGAGCGTCTGCAATCTGAGCAGTAGCATATACATGTTAAATAAGAAGTTTCTTAACTAGCACTCTTTTCTGCACAAAATGTATGTCCAATTCTATATGTTTAGAGCGAGCATGTAACATCAGATTATGGGACAGTAGTAATACACTCAAGTTGTCACAAAGGAGAGTTAGTGTATAGGATGGAACACTGAACTCATCCAAAAGAGATTCCAACAAAAAAAGTTCTGAGATGGAGTGTGCGAGGGCACAATATGCTGTCTCTGTGCTTGAACGAGCAACTAAGGACCGTTTCTAAGTATTCTTCTAACTGCAACCCAATGAGAGTCCAATGAGAGTCATTTAACTGTCTTCATGAATAGTACCATTTAGGAAAACATTATTCACATCTATTTTTTGAATTTCTAATTTGTAGATTATGGCTAGAGTAACTGTTAGCCTGATTATTGTTGGATTTACCACTGGGGAGAAGGTTTTAGTAAAATCAAACCCATGTTCTTGATGATACCATTTTGCAACCAACCTAGCTTTATGCTTTCGAACACTACCATTCAGATTCTCCTTGATTTTACCCATTTACAACCTACACATTTTCTACGTGGAGGTGAAGAAGTTAATGTCCAGGTTCCATTTACTTTTAATGCATCAACTTCTTCCATCATAGCTTTGACTCACTCTGGTTTGGATAAAGCTTGTCTCACGCTTGTTGGCTTAGTTTTATTGTGAGCTACAAATAATTGGACTTATCAGTTTTAGCCCTAATTAACATAACATGATTATTATGGATGAAAGGCATAACTGGTGCAGGTTTGCTATTATGAATTATGGGGACATAGACATATTAGATTCAATGAAAACTAGACAAGTATTTGAGTTGTGTTGGTTAAAAGAAGTGCTTTAATTATTGATTAGTATAAGGGATTGATATAGTTCATTGTCCTCTAGATAATTAGAAGAGCCAGACCTTTGGTCAAAATGGTAACTATTTTAATTTAGTTCAGTACCCTCAGGGTAACTGATTAAACGATAAATATTATGCAGGGGGATATGTATAGATGTAACCGCGACAATGACTTGACCACTTAAAAGAATAAAAGTACTTTTGTTAGAAGACTCATCAATAAGATCAGACCTAATTTGAGTATTAGATGAGAACACAACATTATCAAGATAGCCATTGATCATAGGGTGGGTAATGTATGTGTTGAGCCTGATGCAAAGCTAGAGACTTTGGAACAACTAGAGTTAGTCTCACCAGGAACATGTAAGAGAAAGGGAAGTCATATTCATGAAACTTGACATGTTTAGAAATATATATTTTACCTTCTTTACTTAAACACCTGAAACTCTTATATTGAGGAGAGACACCAAGATAGACACATCCTTGACTCCTAAATTGAAGTTTTTGTTTGTTATAAGGTCTAAGTAAACAAAAACATGAGCACCTAAATGCCGTTAGATATTTGTATTCAGGTTCTTTCCCATATAATGAAAAGGTGAATTGAACTTAGGTAAACTGGGAGATAGAAGTCTATTGATCGAGTAAATAGAAGTGGCTGAGCTATGGTCCCAACAAATAATAGGTATAAATGCATGAGATAAAAAGGTAAGACTCATCTCTACTACATGCCAATGCTTTCTCTCCAAAATACCATTTTGATGAGATGTGTGTGGGCAATTCAGTTTACGGTTTACGCCTAGCTCAACTAGATATTTTGTAAAAGGTCTATACTCACCTCCATAGCCAAACTGAATTGACTTGATGGTAGTTTTGAATTGAGTTTTGAAAATAGGTGAAAGGTTTGAAAGACTTGAAGGGATTCATTTTTTTTCCATCTTTGAAATCAAAGGGATTAATGCTCGATCAATCAATGTTTTGGATTGGTCATCATCAAGTCAAAGTTTCATATATTCAAGAAGCTTATATTCAACAAGAATCAAGTTCTAATTGATCTCATTGCAAGATCATTGAAGCTCAATTTTATCTGGCCCCCAAATTAGGATTTTATTAGGAAAAGTTAATTGTGCCTTCGAATTTTGATCCAAGCATGATCCAAAGACTTGTGATATGATTCAAAATGTTCATATGCATCCTTGGAGCCTATCTAGGATGTTTGAAAAGTCCAAAGATGCAAATTCGTTGAAGATTACACAGTTGAATTCATCTGGTACAAATTTCATCTAACAATGTCAACTCTTTGACTTTTAGGGTTTTTGGTCCAAATTGAAACATCCACACCAAATTTCATCAAGATATGTTTAATCAATGAGTTTGTTCATGAATAAATCAAGATTGGAGAGGTTTCTTGCAAAAGAAGAAAACTTGGTTAAACTTGAATTTTTTCTAAGTGTGGAAAAAACCTCATTTTGGTACCAACTTTGAGAGATCATAATTTTCAATCCACACATCTATTTTTTGAGTTCCAAAGATCAATTTGTAGATCTCGTCATGTACTAAAAAAGTGTCTTAGTGACCTGTGATAAAAATATGCTTAGAGTTTGAGTTATGAAGCTTCAAAGTTTGGAAGAATTTCAAAACACATAAAATGTTTTCAAGACAGCTTTGTTCCTTCATTTTTCAGCCAACTTCAAGGCCAATTTTCATCATGATCCCTTCAGATTCAAGATTTTCATCAAACATGAAAGTTGTAGGGCATGCTTATAGCTTTCTAAAGAGTACAAGAACTCCCTCATAGCATATGTGAGCTAGGAGTTTCGAAGGAAAGAATTTGAGGTCCATGAACTTGAAATACAAGGTTCAAACTTGTTGTGACATGTTGCAAAAGCAGTATTTTGATACAAACCTTACCGTTTTAAGATGTTTGATGGCAAGATACCCCTT